GTGCTTGGGATAAATTAGAACGAATGGCCAGGACGTTCCCAATGGCACCCCCAAGAGCTCTGAGTGCTGATGGAGCAATACTAACTGAAGAGAAAAGAAAAGAAAGGAAAAACCACCTTCAGTCTCCAAGGTCACCAAGCATTAGAGGGAGGAAACTTCCCAGGGACAGCTGCATGGATTTCAGAGGGCGCAGGGCGGCGAGGGCTGCGGTCAGCACGGTTCTGCAGCTTTCTGCACACCTCTGACTTGCTGGGATTTTCCAGCCTAATTTCATCTACATTTGAAGCCTGGAGTGTTCCAAATTTTAAAATGTTCCCTGTAAACAGATCAACAGTATGTAGGGTACTAAGTAAAAGGAAGGCTGTCACCACTTTGCTGTGTAAGGTCCAAAAGGGAGAATTTCAATGAAGATTTAAAAGGCTTTGGAATGTTTTTGGTTTCTGCAAAGAACAATAGTCACTGGGGCCATAATTTGGACAACTGGGAGATAAGTGCTTTAGAAATGCATTGAAACTCCTGCATCTCTCCTCAGAGGGCCTCAGGGGGGCTCTGTTTGGGCTGCTTTTAACACTCAGACTTTTAAACCTCATATTTCTGTTCTTTCTCTAGCCACTGTCAATAGAAGGAAAAGAGAGGGAACTAGTTCATAGAAATGAAAATTGGAACTGCTATGGAACCAACCTAGGTGAGCCTCAACAAACGAATGCATAAAGAAAATGTGGATATTACTCAGCCATAAAGAATAGTGAAATCATGGCATTTGCCAGTAAATGGATGGAACTGGAGACTAACACACTAAGTGAAATAAGCCAATCCCAAAAAACCAAAGGCTGAATGTTCTCCCTGATGTATGAATGCTAACACAAAGTAAAGGGGCGGGTTTTAGAAGTTTAGTGGATTAGACAAAAGGGAATGAAGGGAAGGGAGGAGAGATGGGAATAGGAAAGACAGTAGAATGAATCAGACATCACTTTCCTGTGTTCATATACGAATCTACGACCAGTGCAATTTCACATCATGTTCAACCACAAGAGTAGGATCTAATTAGAATGAATTATACCCCATGCGTGTATAATATGTCAAAATACACTCTACTGTCATGTGTATCTAAAAAGAAAAAAAAAACAAATAAAAAGAAAATAGGACCTGATAATCAGGAATCACAAAAATAGAGGCACCAATGGCCCGACCCTGCCTTCACCATTGTGTGGTCACGGCCAGAAGCCGGTGCCAGTGCTCCTGAACAGAAGAGGAAGGGCGGTTGGGTTGAGATGTGTTGGAGTCCTAACCCCAGTACGTTGGGATGTGACCTTATTTGGAGAGAGCGTCTTCCTGGAGATAGTCCTGTTAATATGGCAATATCAGGCTGGGCTCTAATTCAGAATGATGTGTTCCTTATCAACAGGGGAATCAGGACCCAGATGTACAACACAGAACAGCATAACAGTATGGAAGGAGAGGTTGAGTGCTCTTTCTTCAAGTCAAGCTGTCCCAAGGAGAGGAGCAAACACAGGAGCTGGCAGAGAGGCAGGGGCAGAGTCCCCAGGTTGAAGAAGAAACCAACCTCAGACTCCCACCTGCAGAACTGGGAGAGAGAGGATTTCTGTTGTGCAAGTCCTCCAGTCGGAGAGCCCCAGGGAACTGACTCAGGGGCACCTTAGTGACAGGCACCAGGAGACGAACCAGAGGGGCAGGGCAGCAGAGGGTGGGTAAGGCAGCTGTGTCCAACACCTCTGTGTGATGTTCCTTTTGCCAAAGCTGCTCTGAGAATCTCACCCTGTCACCTACTGCGTGTACACTACTGGAGGCTATAGAAATGACCTACTAGGAGCTGAGAATAAACAATCAGCGACAGATAGTGTCAAAAGATAAAACTGTAGAAACACCCATTTTTCTAAATTATTTGGGAGTCATGCAGCTGCCAAGCCTCAATCCACAGGAAAAAAATGATTTCCCAGGGAGGTACAACTATAGAAGGCAAACAGATAGTCTTTGGTTTATTTTTGCTGCTTCCTCTCTCCCTTTTCCTTAACCTTCAGATAACCAAAAGCTGTTTATTTCACTAGTTCATATAGGTTTTGCACTCTAGGGATAGGTAAGATTATTATTGTTCTCAAAATGCTTAAAATATAGCTGGGAAACTTCTGATGCCATAACCAAATACCTGAGGCTGAGTGACTTATAAACTATTTTTTGGCTCATAATTCTCATGGTTGGAAGGGCCAAACACCAAGACACTGGCATGTTGGTAAGATCACAACAAGGTAGAGAAGCAGAAAGGGAACTGGTTGTGTGCAGAAGGAGAGAGGAAGCCAGGTGAGACAGGAAGCCAGAAACCTTGGTGAGGCTGGGCTTGCTCTTTTAAGGAACCTGCCTTCAGGAACGTCTGCACTCTTCCTGGACCTGATCTATTCCCTGGAGACAGCGTGAATCTTTCCGGGGGTCCCCAGGGGAACTAACTGCTTTCCCCCTCCCTCCAGGCCCATCTCCTAGAGCTCCCACCACCTCAGCAGCACCACCTAGGGGACCTCTGGGGCACAAGCCACACCTAAGCCATTCCCAGGTGGGGTGACCCCCCCAGGGAATTTAGTGACATCCCAGGAGTCACACAGGGGCTCTGTGCTAAAAAGAGGTGGACAGCAGGGCAGACAAGGATCTCAACCAAACACTGCCTCTATTGGCCCTCTGTGCTGGCCGTGTCCTGTCTGCAGTGTCGGATGGCCAAGGTGACAGGAGTTCTCTGGCTGCATGCATGACTTCAGTGTCAGTGTTTCTCAAGTTTCATTATTAGCGCCATGAATTCTGGAAGTCTTTATAGCTATCCTTTATCAGGTTCATAAAGTTCCTTTCTATTCTTAGTTTTCTCAGAGATTTCTTCTATGAAAAATGAATATAGTTTAATTTTATCAAATGTCTATTTTAAAAACCTACTTAAGAGGTTTTTTCTCCTTTAATCCTTAATAGGCTTAGTTATATGAATAGACTGAATGATATTTAATCATTCATGCAATCCTAGGAGAATCCCAATGGATCGTAACTTTTTTTTCAATGTGATGAGTGGCAAGCAGTATTTTCCAAAGGGGGCTTCAATAAGATCTCTTCCAGAGCACGACTTCCTACTTCTTCCACTGGGTTGGCGGTTGGGTTGATGTTCGCTCCCAGAGATTCTAAATGAACCACAGCCGATCTCCCAAGGTCAGATTGTACGGGAGAGACTGCTTCTGCTCTTGGTGCCCAACCAACCAGGAGAGGAAGCCCAAACCCCACTGCAACACCTTCCTGGAGGGGAACTGTGGGTCCAGCCCATGGTCCAACCGTGCTGCCAGGACATTCAGTATCAATGTGGCCATGTGTGAAGGAAGGATCCTGAAGGCACATCCTCCAGCCCACAGTGAAGTGCCTCAGCTAAAGTAACTAGTAGAGGTTTGCTGTGAACGTCATACTTCGCCCACATCACAGGCTTGTGAGTAAAATAAAAATGAATTTGTTTTAACACTAAGATTTGGAGATATTTGTTATGCAGCAATACATAGCTGATACATGATAATTGATTCCACTCAGTAAGATTTTATTTAAGAGTTTTGCATATACCTTCATAAGGAAGGTTTTATTTTCGTGTCCTTGAAGTCTATTTTCACATCAAAACCTTACTACCCTTTAAAAATGAGCTTGGTGGTGATTCTTCTTTTTCTAGCATGAAAATATCTGGGTAAGTTTGAAGTTATTTGTTCTTTATTTTTATTTTTTTAAACCTGTGTAAGAAACTACCAGGTACCAGATTTTATGCTTTTTCTTTATTTTCCACTGACAAGTTTATGGAAAGGTTGGGATCTATTCTAATTTTCTAAGTTTATTTTCTTTCAGTAAACTTGGGACTTTCTTAGAAAATAGTCCACATCCTGTAATCTTCCAAAGTTAGGAACTATCAGGTTTCACCGTAACTACATTACGTCCTTCACTCATGGATACAGTTTTTCTTTTCTCTCTCCTTTCCCCAGGAGGCTTGCCAAAAGCATGTCTCTTTGTTTCGTCTTTTGGACAGTCACTTTGCTTTACTGTTCATCTTTCTAGCTTCTAATGCAACTAGAAAGAGAACTGATGGAATGGTTTTCATTTCCATTGGTATCTATCTTTTCCTTTTCAGAGCTTTCCATAGATATCTGGTACGTATGACTTCTCTTTCTTTAAGATCAGTCTTTGACCTGAAGCCTACAAACCCGAGCGCTCAGCGGCACTCAGGACCCATACAGAGCAGTGCAGCTCACTTGGCAGCTTTGCAGTCTAGAGTCACCGCCCAGT